TTTTTGATTAAGGGATCATGCACTTTACTTTAGGGGGGATCTTGGGACCTGCTAGCCATTTTCATTGATTTGTAAATTCTTTTATTTTTTAGAAAAATTTAACTAATGTTTCACTTTTATGTAACTAGTTTTTCGTTTTGTGTAGTTTATTTATTATTTTAGCATTTTCACTAATTTTATAAGATGCTTAATCAAATATAATATCATTTTTTATGTTGGCAGCACTTTGTAAAGTAAGTTTTACCAAATATTGTACTGCTTTTATATTAAGCTGCTATTGATGAAAGTCATTTCACGGTATTCGTAACAATGTGCAGCACAAGCATCAACCAGACCATAGAGACCCTTTTTTAATCTCAATAAGTAGCTTTAAGCTGGAAAAAAAGTTTTACATAACTTTTATTTTGGCTTGAAGTGCTTATTTTAGTTACCTCTTTATTTGTATTTTTTTCCAAAATTCAAAAGTAATTATTTTCAGCTTAATGGGTTATTCTTTTCTAAAAGCCAGTACCTACGAGCTCTTACGTATCCTTGTGGTTAAGACCGTCTATTTCAAACACAAACTTTGACTTCCAGTGTGCTTGTCCTCTTTTTTAATTGTTAACCATTCGTCACTTGAAAAACTGGTTATGCTCCTCTACTGGTTATCCATATTAAAATGGTTAAGAACCAATAGACTTGAGGACCTTTTGTCTGTTTACTATGGCTTTATTTCTGCAGCTGATCAGGGAAAGTTTATATTGATCATAATGTTTCAATTCAGAAATTTTTGGCAGAAAGAGAAGGCATTCTTTATAACAGTCTGTATATGCATGCTTTTGTGTTTTTTGGAGGAAGTTTGTTATAGGGAGCTTTTCATTAATGGACCCAGTTGTTTTACCCTGTTCTGACATGCCATTTGACCTTTCTGATAGAAGGAACCAGCTATTGATGCTCCTCGTCGGCTGCTTCAATTTGCAGTACGAGATGCATTGGGGACTTCTAGGCCGTCTAATTCTGCAAAGGAGCCTGTAGTCAAGCGTCTTCGATCTGTGGTGTCTACAGCCACTGGTGATTCATCCTCGGATCATCCTAGGAGGATTCAATCAGTAGCAAGAGTGGCAAATCCCATGGCAACTGCGATCAAAGCTGTTGCAGAAGCTGCTGAGGATGTAATAAAGTTCAAGGCTTCTGGAAGTGTGTTTGACCGACTTAGTCGTGGTGCAGAGATCTCAGAATTTAGAGAAGCTGCTGATAGGGGGGATAGGGATCAAGAATATGGTGATTTTAACAAATCTCATGAACAACGACAACAAATATATCATCGAATGAGTGAGTATAGTGGAGAATATGTTGGGAACAGGACAATGTTGGAAAGTGAAACTGCATTGACTTCTGATTCTTTCTCTGACAATGAAGGGTATGATGATCTGAGCATTATAGGACACAGACGCATAGATGAACCTCAAAGTGATACGTATCCGGTGAACACAGATAACGACTCTAGGATGGTGCAGTATAATGTAGGTAATAATGCCAAAAATGTGATGTGGGTAGAACAAACTAAAGACGAACTCAACCTGCTGCAGCATCAACTGTTCACCGTAAGATAGTAAACGTTTCTGCAAATG